AGCTCTATGTCTTGCATCTTGTTGAACTTTCCAATCGATCCTCCTCTATCGTCATGGTTCAGAAGACTAGAAAGAATGGAATGCCCTTCTTCAACCGGTACTACCGTGGTGCCTCCCGTGACGAGGTGGCAACCGCATTTGAGGCTTATGGGCAAGTTACAGGAGTCACCATCCGCCACTCGACAGCCATCTCAGCACTGCCTGTGATGCATGAGGACATCTGCCATTTAGCAGAGGAGAAAAGGGTGGCAATATGATCATCCTACCCTTACACAAACAGTGGACAGGGGACGAGGAAGAGGCAGTAGAGACTATTGGCGATGCGTGGAGAGATGTGAATCAAATGGTGCTCAGGTGTGCACCATGTTCGGTGGCAGTGTTCGTGGACCGCGGATTTGGAAGTGGATCTGAAGAGGTGTTGGAACCCACCACCACACAGAAGAGAATAGGCGTTTTGTTCACGGGAGGAGCGAATGATCGAGAAGCTTTGGCTTTTGGTGGCAGAATGGCTGAGCCCCAACCTAACAGGGTGACTCTGGTGAGATTGCTTGTGAGGGATGAAAACGAAATAGGGACAGTGGGGCGACAAGAACAGGACCAGAACGAAGCAGCAGTATCACAATTTCGACAAAGATGGGATGGAAATATACAGTATGAAGAGAAGGTAGTGAGCAACGTCGAAGAGGGAGTGCTAGCAGTAGGGCAGACTCAAGAGTATGAGCTTCTAGTTGTTGGAAATGGGATGTCCCGGTCAACCATGGTAGCAGAACACAACCACAACAAGCATGCAGAGTTGGGACCTATTGGCAATATCTTGGCTTCATCAGACGATGGCATCACGGCCTCAGTGTTAGTGATTCAACAATATACTGCTAATGACAATGAAGCCACAGGCTAAAAGATGATGCAAAGCAAGGAAGCTGTTAATGATGGAGAACCGACTGTATGACAGTCATGTGGGGTGGAGAGATGCAGCGATGTAAAATCTTTTATTTTATGTGTATTAGGTTTTCCGTTACACGTTCAGATAGAATAAAGAGGGATGAGTATGACCATAATCTTATCGTTTCTCCGTAATGCTGTTTTTCTTAGCAACACAAGCATTATTTTGCATTCACATCAATTTGCGAAGTAGGCTTCCAATGAATGTGAGTGGAACAAGCATAACATATAACAAGGGCATGAAGAAAAAGCAAAGGAAGAGGAACCAAACCATGAGATCCAACGTAAAATTGATATATATATATATATTTTTTCAAGTCACCGATCATGTTCTCCACAATCACAAACAGATTTCTTTTCAATAGGCAATTAGCCCTCTATGTTCAAAGTTTTACAAATATACTATCATCAAACACATCAGCCCTTCCGAAGAAATTACATAAAAATTTTTAAGATAAAAAGGAAAAAGAGTTTCTGACCTCCACAAAAACAACCTTCCCTCTATCTGAGATCCCGATTCTCTGATCACCCACACTGGTAAAAATTGTTTCACCCCTCAAGCTTGGCATTACCCAGCAAGTAAGCTGCCATTTGTGGCTACTAAATACCATTTGTGTATAATCCCAGGCTCTGATGACGGTGATAACATTCAACTTGGCCACAGTTAGATAATATATTTCCATAATGTAAACATTTCTCACAAAACGAAAAAAAAAAAAAAAAAAAGAGAAAAAAACACACACACACTAACCATGCTGTGTTTTTCAATGAGATTAAAGGTAAAAGGAGACAAATCTTGCAACCTAAGTGATGAAAAGATGAGGGAAGGAGAAAATCAAAGCCTACAAATTAAGTTACGAAAACAAATAATGAGAGATTATGATTTATGAGTGACAATTTCTTCATTCTTTCCCTAATTAATAAGGAAAAAGAAGTTATACTTCTTTTTGTTACATGTTCACTCAATTGGGTTCATTTAAATCTTACGTAATATTATCTATGGTTATGATATAATTAAATTTTGAAACAGTAAATAATTACAACATTATGTATCATAACGATCATAAAGACAACCAATGAAACTCTATTTATCTAAAAGTTTGCTTTTGGAAAGATTTAATAAAGAACTAATGATGCATGGAGATAATTTATCCATTACTCCACCAATCTTCTCTTCTTTCCTTAGTTTAAAATCTAAACACACACACAAAAAATATATGCTAAACAAACTTTTCTATCCACTTCCCACAACTAAAATGAACTTTAAGCCAAATGAAAATACTAAAGGGGTTAAATATATGATAGATTAACATTAGAGAAAGCCTCCACCCGTCCATGTTGAATCTGATTTCCCATTGTAACCAACAGCTTTCTTATCGGGTGGACTTTGGTAGATATTATCATATCAATCATCCTTGCCATCATCTCATCCAGCCCAACCTAAGTAATAAACCTGACAATCGAATTCATCATAGTGGGATTCTCAATCTTGCCAAAATCGGTGTTTTGGTATCAACTCCTACGCCATTTGGTATCAAAGCCAATATATTTGGAGTATGCACGTCATTCTGAGTATTCTGGTGAAAATCTGGTCGACGAACAAGGTAGCACGCACCTCCACTCGCCATGCCGCTGTTTTACGCGCCGGCCACTCGCACCACTGCAATTCATGTGAACATCACATCTTCAACCTCTCATTTGCCACGTCATCATCCAGTCACTTCCACATCATTTATTGCCACGTCATTTGTGCCACGTCACGTGACATGTCATCAGCCATGTCAGTGACACATCATCAGCCATGTCAGTGACACGTCATCATTGCAGCAGCACTCTTTTCCACGCATCAAATCCCTCAACTTATTTTGACCTTACAGATTGACCCCATAATTTTATAAATTTCAAATTACCCACACTTTCAAATACTAACTTTCCAAAAAGCCTCTTACCAACCTAAACTCATCATGCCTTCTAGAAGACAAAATCCTCCTCGTCAACGAGGTGTTCGGGACATAGAAATGGAAGAACTACGTCAACAAATTCAAAGGCTTCAAGAAAGACTCGAAGCTTTTGAGGGATAACAAGCTCAACACCCACAAGATGAACCACATGAGTCAGAATAAGATACTGACGATGAGAATCCCTTCCATCACTTAAGGGATAATGAAAGCTCATCATCAACAGGAAAAGTTCGTCGTCGACAACGTCCCCAACAAAATGCTGCTCCCAAATCCACTGACCTTGGCATCAAAATCGATATTCCAGATTTTGAAGGTTGCCTTCAACCAGATGAATTTATCGACTGGTTACACACTGTGGAACGTGTGTTTGAACTCAAGGATATTCCTGATGACAAGCATGTGAAGCTCATCGCCATCATTAAAGAAACATGCATCCATTTGGTGGGAGAATCTCAAACAGAGTTGAGAAAGAGAAGTATGCAGCAAAATTAGAACTTGGGAGAAAATGCGTCGGGAACTCACTCGTAAGTTTTTACCTGACCGTTACTACCAAGATAATTTTGTTAAATTTCATAATTTGCAGCAAAAATCTTTGGCTATGGAAGAATATACTATGGAGTTCGAACAATTAATGATGAAGTGTGATGTTTGAGAAAAAGAAGAGCAAACCATAGTAAGATATCTTGGAGGATTAGACAATGACATTTCCAACGTAAGTTTAACTTCAACAATATTGGACTTTGGATGTTGTCATTCGGCTAGCATTGAGGGTTGAAAAGCAAATCTCAAAGATGAATATTACTATTGCTTCAAAACCACGAGATTTTGAAGCTAGCCAAGGGACCCAAGCCTCAAAGATTGTTGCTAAGACACTTGCCACAGTTGAGAAGGAAGCTAGTTCAAGCCGTCCAGCCCAGCCTAACACTCGAAGTGTTTCAAGTGTCAAGGATTTGGCCACATTGCCTCCGACTATCCCAATAGGAGAATTATCACCATTATTGGAGGAGAGATTCATGAAGTCTTAAATGGTGAAGCAAAAAAGGAGATTAGTGACGAGATTAAGCCACAACTTGTGAAAGAACTCATCGCAGCTGACCATGGAGAATCTTTGGTTGTGCGTCGAAGTCTTCATGGTACCATAACCAAGGATGAAGATTGGCTTCGACATAACATCTTTCACACTAGATGTACTTCTCGGGGGAAAGTTTGCAACATCATCATTGACAGTGGAAGTTGTGAGAATGTTGTGTCTAGTTATATGGTTGAGAAGCTAGGACTGCCAATCAAAGATCTTTCCCATCCATACAAGTTACAATGGCTACGAAAGGGAAACGAGGTAAAAGTAACCAAACATTGCCTTGTCTCTTTTTCTATTGGTAATAGGTACCAAGACGAAGTATGGTGTGATGTTATCCCCATGGATGCTTGTCACTTGTTACTTGGTCGTCCCTGGTAGTTTGACAGAAAGGCTATCCATGATGGCCATGCCAACACCTACGCGTTTGTGAAAGATGGTGTGCAAATCAAGCTCACTCCCTTGAAGCTTAAAGATTTACTTGAAAAGAAGGATGAGGACAAGACCTTAATCTCTAGATCGACCTTAATCTCTAGATCAACTTCTCAGAAGTTGCATCAAGAATTGAGGATAGCTTGTCTCTTGCTATTATCTAAAGTGAATGATGCCACTTCCCCTTTTCCAGAGGAAATTCGATCTCTCCTTGAAGAATTTTCTAATGTTGTTCCTGATGAGACCCCTCATGGATTACTGCGAACTCAACGAAGCAAGGATTCTATCATGGTTGTGCCTACAAGACCAGACTTCCAGGTGACTATGGAG